GAAATGCTGTCCCTGGAGCTCCTTATGCACCCACATGCACATCCTCAGTCCTTGGCCGACATCATGGGGAGGGTGGGAGCTGGCCGTCTGCACAGTCACCCCATCCCGCATGCCACCGTGACATCCCCACCCACCACACCACACACCCCAGTGATGTCATACTCCAACACTGCAGCGACATCCCATCCCGGGCCGCAGACACCTCCAGCACCGCTACAACATTGCACGACGTTGTGCAGAAGGGGCCTCATCACACCCCAAAGGCACCCCAGAGCAATGACAACATGGTGACCTCACAGCAGTCCATGACATCATGCTGCATGTGCCCTACTAACATCGTATTCCTGTTCTTGCCATTCCCAGGCTGCCACAGTTGTGCCCGCCAGGGCAGAGGACAGGGAGGAGATGTCCTGCAAACCTAGCAGCCCCTCTCCCACAGCAGCAGTGTTGCCCAGGGATGCCAGCAGTGCCCCCTCCACAGCACCTCAGCCCCAAGCAACCCAGCCCCTGCAGTGCCTCTGCTCCCATCAAAGCCCATAGCCCCGGTCCCGCTGCCCCGGCTGCTCCCTGCTGCTGTGGGCTCAGCGCTGCTCCATCCCACACCCCTCTCACAGACCCTGGCCTGGGCATGAATCCCATCACAGATGCTTCCGACGGGCACAAAGCCCCCAGCTGCTGGCTGTCCCGTCCCTCTCTCCTCCCACGCAGGACTCCTCAGCGCCGGACCTGGCACGCTGGGGCTCAGCCAGCAGCAGCTAATGCAGTGTGGAGATGAGCAGTCACCTTAGTCTCTGAGCTCAGCCCAAAGGGACACCAGGTCCTTGGGGGTCTCGGCTGCAGCCACCCGCTCCCAGACCCACCAGCGCACAACCAGCCCCTTTCCACGCAGGCAGATGCACAGAGAGACCACTCTATCTGCAGCCCCCAGCCCCTCCACGGGCTCAGCCAAGACCAAGCACAGATGTCCCTAGAAAGAGGAGCTGCCCTTTCTCTCCCTCTGTCCCTTGCTTCTTGCCACCCTGATGCCTCTCCCCCAGTCTCATCCCACACCCCCTCATCACCGCCCCATCCTCCTGAGCCCGGTCCCCCTCCCAGCCCAGCATCCTTCATCCCTCTTCCACCCCGCATACTCCTCCACGCTGCGGGGGCAGGCTGCGTGCCCTGCCC